GTTTCATGTGAAAGATGTAGAAACTTAACAATTGCCTAGCCCTAGGAAATGCCTCCTATTTATTGAATTTAGTCTCTTTGCTAACCATTGGGTTGTTGAATCATTGAATTCTATGGCAAGTATAGGGACTTGGTAAATACACACTCCCCAAAACTCTCTTAAAGAGATATTTGGAATGTGTATTACTGCTGTTCACATTCTCTCTCTCTCTCTCTCTCCCTCCCTCCCCCCTCTCTCTCTATATATATGGTAATGGCTTCACAGTACTCCACAAGGGGGCTCCCTCTGATTTGCGACACTGTGTGAGAGAGCTACTACACAGAGGTGGTATTCAACAGGTTCTGACTAGTTCTGGAGAACTGATAGTGGAAATTTTGAATAGTTTGGAGAACCAGCAAACACCACCTCTGACTGGTCCCGCCCCCATCTATTCTCTGTCTCCTGAGACAGATCGGCTGGGTCTTCTTTTGTTGCCCTTCACAGGAGAATAGAGCTGGAAAGCAGGTTGGTGGGGTGGGAAGGGAATGGGATTCAAACCAAGGAATTGCTCAACTCCTTCTACCCAAATCACCAAGAAAAAAAATGGGGTTGTTCAAGCTGGATGTTACAGAATTTATCTCCCTCTCACTAACCGGCTGCAGGGTAAAACAGCAGTTCTTGTCCTATAAGTCCTCAACAATCAACAAGTACTCTAAATGATTTTTTTAAAAAAAACACTTATTGAAGTCTTTTATACCTAAGCTTGAAAAACATTCATATACAGTTCAGTTTTCTCCCAATAAATCAATCATGCAAAAGAGACAGCCATGGCTCTGAGACTCAATGTGGACCCTAGCAAACACCTAGATCAGCTGGCACAGGTTCTTCATTCTCATTTCTACTTCAATCTTCCATTCACCACCACCAGCAACAGCCATTTACAGGGCACTTTCACACATATCCATATAGAGTTTACTTGGTTTACAATCAACAAGAGGATAACAAAATAGCATATTTACGGTGGCACAATGGTTAACGTGCAGTACTGCAGGGTACTTCTGCTGACCGCTGGCTGGCTGCAATTTGGCAGTTCAAATCTTACCAGGCTCAAGGTTGACTCAGCCTTCCATCCTTCTGAGGTGGGTAAAATGAGGAGCCCAATTGTTGGGGGCAATATGCTGACTCTGTAAACTGCTTACAGACGGCTCTAAAGCACTGTAAAGCAGTGTATAAGTCCAAGTGCTATTGCTATTATACTTTTCAGACACTTGTAGACCTAAGAATACATTAAATGATATAAAATCATTAAACAAGTTTATAAAGATACAAGGGAACATCAAATGGCAATAATGATAAAGCAGAACTGGGCAACCCTTTTGAAAATTTGGATGACTTGTTAGCTAAGAAAAAAAGTCTTCAGCTGTTCTACTGTATTTCCTAATAAAGAACATTAACTCAGGTAGAAAGAATAGCACAAAAATATCTCAGAGACTGATACTATTACCCACAATGAGCAGGTACATGGTCATCCTTGCCTGGAAATATTATTAAATCTTATCTCTAGCAATGAAGGCAGAAGAACATCATAATGTAAGGAATGTAAGGATTCTCTTGTGAATTTCATATATGTTATTGACTAGATAAGTAGTATGGGAAAGAGCTTCAAAACATTTACTATACAAAGTGGAGAAAAATCTTGTGAATATTGTTATCAAGAGTGTACTGCTTCAGCAATGTCAGGGCTTTTTTGAGGCAAATCAAGGTCAAATATTGAGCTAATAAAAATCTTACATCCCAATCTATACCCGTCTTCCATTGTGACAAACAATTATCCCCTAAATACAGACAGCTAGTTTACTAGTGAAGTCATTAAAATAGGAATGAGAAAATGTGGCAGGAATTTTGGAGACAATGATTACTTCTGTTTTGTCATACTAGACAAATCTTTCCTTTTTACAAGGAAAAGCCCCAGAGTGTTCACATTAGTTCCAGTTGCATTGTACAGAAGATATACTCACCACATAACAGAACTGAAGCTGGCCTTATAGTCAGAAGTGGTATTCAGCAGGTTCTGACCAGTTCTGGAGAACCGGTAGCAGAAATTTTGTGTAGTTCAGAGAACCGGCAAATACCACCTCTGACTTGAGATTTTACAGTATCCTTCCCCTGCCACGCCCACCAAGCCACACCCAAGAACCGGTAGTAAAAAAATTTAAATCCCACCACTACTTGTGGTCAACAATAAGTGAAACTCATGTTTGTCATGGCTATATCAGACAATTAATATTAAAGTTCAAAAACATCCTTGCTGCATCATTTTTTGAATAGGATTGAATATAGTCCTACGGCGCTATAAAGAACCAACAAAGTCTTAATCAACAAAAGGGTTTATCAATCAATGGAGAAAGAACCTAATTTTTTCCTTAGTCTATCTCTGGAGATTCACTCTAAAAGCTGGCTTTAATAATAATAAAAAACCCATCCTTCCTTACAAAATGCATACAGGTAGGAACACAAGCATGCAAACTGAAACATACCGTAAGATGACTTTTTTGCCCTGAAAAACATGCCTCCAAGTGGGGGGGTCATCTTATAAGGCGAGTATATAACAAAGGTCGTCTTATACGCCGGCAAATACGTTGTTGTCACTCGGTGCAAGAGCGACGGGGGCGGAGCTCCGCAACTTGCGAAGCTCCGTCAAGCCCAGCCGGAGTCTCTCTTCCTCCTCCTCCCCCCCACCCACCCTCCGCCCGGCTCGGGGCGCTTGCGGAGGCCAATCAGGAGGTGGGGTGGGAGTGGAGCGGGAGGGTATCTGGCAGGGCCGCTTCGCCCAGCCAGCCCCGAGCCGCGTAATGGCCTGGGGAGTGGGTGGTGGGGGTGGACTGTGGCACCCCTCCTTCTGGGCAGCGGGGCGGGGCCGGCAATTTGCTCCTCCTGCTTCTCCCTCCCTCTTTGAAAGACCGGGAGGGCTGTGCTTGGGGCGGGGGGGTGTCCTCGAGAAGTTCCTGATGGGATTCTGCTGGGCAGGGCCACCCGGCTCCCGAGCTGCTTTCCAGGGTCCCCTTGGGAAGAAAAGGGTCCGGTGGGCGGTGGAAGAAGGCGAGGGACCTCCTCCCGCCCCCTGTCCCATCCCGTCCCTCCTCTTGTCCCCTCCTCCCCTCCCCGCTTAAGAGAGAAAGATCCGGCTCCCTGGCACCGAGCTGCCACCCAGCGCCGCGTCTCCCGGCCAGCGCGCGCTTGCGACTTGGGAACCGGCCAAGCGACTTTAAAACCGAGCGGAGGCCAGAGATAGCCAGAATTACCCTCCACACCACACACACACACACACAGAGAGAGAGAGAGAGAGAGAGAGAGAGAGAGAGAGAGTTGGCAGCTGTCCATCCCCCACCCTTGGAGTCCCGATGGCGCGCACGCAGGGGCTGCTTAAGGGAGGAGGCCTTTCACTTTCCCCCGGGGGGAGGGGGCAGGCGCGTCACTTTCACTTGCATGCCTCCAAGTGGGGGGGTCGTCTTATATGGCGAGTATATAACAAACTCTATATTTTGAGTGGAAATGTTGGGGGCTCATCTTATACGCCCAGTCGTCTTATACGCCGGCAAATACGGTAGGCCTCTGTCAATGAGACAAAGTGGGCACCTAATCATTCTACTATCCATGATCACAGAGCAACAGTTAAAACATTTCCTCATCTACACTGTCAGCGGATGGATAGCTATTTCTAATTCGCTAGAAGGAAGCAACCCATACAAAGATAATCACTTTAATCTATTACTGCACCCCAGACATCACTCACCAAAATACACGAGACATCCCAAATATTATTCTATCATGTACCATATGACTAGAGAACAACTTCTGGACTTAGTCATAATAAAGCAGCCTGCCCATTCCACCCAGCCCATGTTGCACAAAATGTTCCCTCGCATCCACATTCCAAAACATGACACAAAGGGATGATTACTTATTTTATCAAACTTCTCAACAGTAAATAGATGTGACAGTGTCCTATTTTATGTAATGAATAAATTAATGATAAAGAACACCATATTCCTAGATTACAGGAAAGATGAATGGAGTTGTAACAACACCAAATAATAATGCAGAGGGCAAAAGCTCAAAATAATCAATAATCAAAATAATCAGTCAAAGATGGTTATTGTGCACAACTGAGAATATTGATCTCATATCTATATTCCATTATATTTAGCTGGCTACTATATGGTTAGGTGAAGGATTTCCATGGCCAAATTATATCTATTCTCGGTCTGTCCCAAAAAAGCTTCTTCAAGAAGCAACCTGACTTTCTTGTTTTCCTTTGAAGATGTTTCGCTTCTCATCCAAGAGCAAGCTTCTTCTTGGATGAGAAGCGAAACATCTTTAAAAAAAAAAAGAAAGAAAGTCCAGTTGCCTCTTGAAAAAGCATCTTTGGGACAACCATGACCTGGATGACCAAAAATCTCTATAGATATTCTGTGTCTGTTCACAGAAAAATTTCCCATCCGCTATAATGGACATTTCCACCTGCCACAATGAATGCAGCAGGCAAAACCTCAACATCATAAACACTCAGCATGGAAGAGGGGGAGAAAAGATGGTTCCCATATACTTCTAGATGTAATCAGCTGTCCAAATCACCAAATCACCAAAAATTTTGACTGAGGCAGGTGTTGCCTGGATTAAGCTACTACAAGTGAGCTTCCATGGCTACCTGTTGACTAATTAGTTCTCCTTCATCCAACACCATACCTGCTATTTAAAATAGAAATGATAACAGTAGTTCACAAATAAAGTTTGGTAATTAGCATGAGAAATGACAGCAGGCATGTAGTGTAATCAAACATGTAATCCACAAATGTTGCCGAAACAGTCCAGTAAACCTGTACCAAGAAGTATTTCTAAGATTACATTAAAAACAGTGTTATAACATTAGTGTGCCATTCGCTTTATATGACCTCAAAAGAAATTATGTCTATTATCATGTCTGATTTTACTGGTTGACTAACCATCTGCCAGCTACTTACATTACACCTTCTTTCTCGGGTTTCAACCATACAGATAAAGTAAATGAAACAGTAAGCTTCCGAGGATGAGGAGTGGAAAAACAACCCTTTTCACCATGAAAAATAATACTTGTGTTGCTAAAAGATCCAGGAGGCACATCATTTTGATCTTGCTGGATAACATTGCCCAAGCCTTCTGAAAGAATGGCAGCATAAGAAGCTGGAGATGATCTATACGGACACTTCTGAATGCAAAATTGCCGGATACAAAAGTTAATACTTTCAACCACAGCTGAACTTTGACAAAAAGTACTCCTTTCTGGCAGTCCACAGGTCGCTTGGGATGGCACAATGGAAATGTTCTTGAAAGCACCCACATTTTCAAGACTTGGGAAATGTCCCTGGGAACTGGCGAGAGGTAAGGTTGTATAATAAACGGTGATGGATGTTTCAATGGCATGAAGCAGGAAACCACAGTGCAGAACCAGGCAAATCATGTTTATAGGCAGGCTGCTTCTTGATAAGGCACCTTAAATAAATAATGACCGCTGCATCAGTGGAAATGGCCTTGGGCAGCTAGTTGAGAGATGATGCAGCATTTCTCCTTAATTTGAAATCCTGGCAGTGTTGAATTTCTTAAGTTGAGTGACAGATACTTGGAGCACGGTAATATCTAGAAATAATACAAAAATATTTAAAGGGAATCGGTGCTTTATACCCTATACAGATATACATACAATTCAGGCCAGACTGACCTAGATCTGTTAGGGAAAGAAAACCAATTGAAACTGAAAAGTCACTTGCAAATCTTGATATATTCACTACAATGGTATATCTCTTGACTTATACTGTATGGCAATAACACCATGTAAATTAGGTGGCATGGCTGTCTGAGACAAACAGAGAGCATACAACATCCTTATTTACCAATGCAGCAGGACTATTTTAAGAGAGATGATAGAATATTTTTGAACTGAAATTTTCCATGAATATCTGAAACAACTTCACATTCTGCTGTACATTAAAAACTCTTCTGATTCCAGCTGTAGAGCTACTAAAACCCACTTAGTTACTGCATAATTGCAACTTTATCAGTTCTGCATCTGAAATATGCAGACACTTCAGATATACAGTATTTAATCATTGGTTTTATGCTGCGACAAGCAAAGCACCTAGCAATCTATTTATAAATGTGTACCTAATCCATTTTAAAAAGATACTCAAAACGTTAAAGGTAGAAACATACAACTTTAAATTTGCAAAGCATTTTGTGTCTTACCCCAATTGTCCATTTCACGCAGCTCCTTTTAGCCTTTAGCAAAGCTGATTAAACCGTATCACCATCTGTCCTGTTTGACTGTCTTCCTAGTAAAACTCTGCTCTTTTCTGACATTGAAGATAGAGCCTATGTCTGATGTACAGGTAAAGCGAATGCCACATCACTGTAAATGATAAGTACCTTTTACTTGTTATTTAACTGAGGAGACAGACTACTCAAATGTTCAGGTTAATAACTGGCTCATATGTCAAGAAGGCTAGGTTTGGTTACCTGGCAACTCCAGTAATTCCTTTCAGCTGGCTTGATAGGACAGAGTAGAAGCAACACTTGTGTACAGGTGAAGGTCAGGCTATAAGCACTTTAAGTCGGATGCCGGAAAACTGTCTGCTTATTTCTGACTCTGTAACAACAGGGGAAAATGGCTGAAGTCTCCATTTGAAGGCAGCAGCCTCCTTGGTTGTTTGGCAATGTGTTTCAACATTTTTAATCACTTTCATAGATAGATGGGAGGAAGACGAGCAGTGGAAAACTGCCAGATTCAAAGGGTAAAATATTTAATAAAGTCATGGACAGGACGTGAACAACTAATAGGCTCTTAAGCTCCTTCCTTGCCCTCAGGGGTTTCTGATTTCCATGTCATATGTCTTGCTTTGGAATAAGAGAGCCATCAAACTGGTAAACAAGGCTTCCTTATCAGGGAATTTCTCAATATTTTCACCTGTGGTAGTGAAATAAATAATTATTATTCATGATTTGCAAATGTATTTGTGATATTTGAAATTAAATACATTTCTTTGTCTCTCAAATTCTAGAAAGAGCACCACTTATGAATAATTGGAAATGTCGGAATCAACTCAAGGCATGCCACAATGGCTTCTCTCTCTTCTAAGGCAGGAAAACTGTAATGTTCAAATAACAACAACAGAATGATGGAAACATAATCAAAGCCATCAATTCGCAGGCAGTAGCAATTATTTGGTACACTGCAAGAATGGTCACTGGCATTCAAATGGATGGTAATAAAATTTTCAAGCTATCTCCATGGAGAAGTCTAGTGCAGGGGTCCCCAACACCTGATCTCTGGACCGGCACTGGGCTGGGGCATGCCAGCAACTGGGCCACGCAAACAAGAAAAGCCTCATCTGGGGGATGCATGTAGCACACAAAACCATACCCCCTCTGATCCGCAGAAAAAACTTTCTCCATAGAACCTGGTGCCCAAAAGGTTGGGGGCCTCTGGTCTAGTGAGTTGTTGTTGGTTTTTTGCTATTTATAATTAATTTAGGGCAGGGGTGTCAAACTCGTGTCCCACGGGCCAAATGCGTCATATGCTGGCCCCGCCCCTGCCCGGTTTAGCGAAGGGGGAAAAAGTCCCAATCTTTCATGTAATGCTGCAATGATGATGCAAGTTTAACACCCCTGATTTAGGGTAAACACGCAAAGAGGCAAGTTATTAAAATAAATTTCTAATTGAGGAAATGGGCTTTCAAATAGTAAAAGAGGCTCAATATAAATCAATGCACAATCCATTTGAATATTTTTTCCTGTGGGGTCTGACCTGGAAAACTGCAGAAGAATTAGATCCATGATGGTGAACCTATGGCATGCATGCTGGAAGTGGCATGCAGAGCATGCGAGCTGTCACCCGGAACTGATCATTGCACATGCGTGCACCCACTGCTAGCCAGCTGATTGTCAGGTATCTGCTGTGCCTGCACGGGGGAGACACGTGCATGGGAAATGCATGTGCATGCGCAGGGGGTGGAGTGCGCATAGGAAGTCATGCATGAATGCACAGGGACCCTGCATGCACATGCACAGGGGAGTCACACAGGCATTGCATTATGGGTGCAGGCATGCATGCATGTGTGTGTGTGCGTACTTTTGGCATGCGATGATGAAATGGTTAGCCATCACTGAGTTAGATAGAGCGCTAAAACAAAACCACATCCAAGCAAATTTTCAGTTGTCAAGAATACAACCAACAAGATTAGAAACTGAACATTTTGACCAAACCTTGTAAACTTTTCTTCTGAAGATGTATTGCCAATAATAAAGACATTTCTAAGCTTCTATAAACCTAGGTAGTTTATAGAAAGAGTTTACTACACTCAGCAGTGTGTTTGGGGTATTGCATTCATGCTTGAGATGATGTTTCACATTTCAATATATGGATTATACATGTTATTAGATAATGCACTGCTACAATCAAGACATTGTAGCATAATGAAGAATTATTTTGGTTTGTATTTTGCTATTGTCATCTGGGATTTCCACTCCCCTCCCCCAATTTCCCTATCTAGTATATGTTCCATAGATTTCCATAGTCTCCTATTAAAAGAACCAATCAGTCCAACACTGATATATTTATGGACTACAGCCCAGAGTGGTTACTGGTTACCAGTTACCTCAACTTATGATCAGCTGCTTAGCAAACATTCAAAGTTACGACACACCTTCTGGGGACACTTAAGACCCAGATTCAAAATTCTGACAGCTTCTCCCATCCCACATTCATGTGCCTGAATTTTGGGTCGTGTGTCCATGTTTTACAATGGTTTTGTTGAAAGCCAGAATTTACTTCTAGTTTTTGGCAAAACTGGCCCATAGCAAAATATTCATATAATTAATAAACCCTTAATGAGCGCTGCAAAAAAGGTTGTAGAGTTGGGTTGGTCACAAGGGTGATTATATTTATGACTGTCATGAGTTAAGACCATGATATGCAGGCTCCATTACAGTCATAACTGAAGGACTACCTGCAGTTGCTGCCATCTAACTAATCTAGATTAACCTAACCGTGTATTTTTAGCACTCCATTTTAATTATTTATTTATTTTATTTTATTTGTCAATCGCTTGCAAGATAATAGGTATAAGTATAAACATAGTTATGAATATATGAAATGGATACATATAAGAAAAATAAAAAGAAACAATAGGACAGGGACAGTAGGCACGTTGGTGTGCTTATGCATGCCCCCTACAGACCTCTTAGGAAAGGGGTGAGGTCAATAGTAGACAGTCTAAGGTTAAAGTTTTTAGGGTTTGGGGAAGAAACCACAGAGTCAGGTAGAGTATATCAGACACTGACCACTCTGTTGCTGAAGTCGTATTTCCTGCAATCAAGTTTGGTGTGGTTAACCTTGAGTTTGTATCTATTGTGTGCTCTTGTATTGTTATGATTGAAGCTGAAGTATTCATTGACTGTAGGACATTGCAATGTATGATTTTATATACTATGCTTAGATCGGACCGAAAGTGGCGTAGTTCTAAGTTTTCTAGGTCTAGAATTTCAAGTCTGGTGGCATAAGGTATTCTGCAATGATTAGAAGAGTGGAGAACTCTTCTTGTGAAATATTTCTGGACTTTCTCAACTGTGTTAATATCAGATATGTAATGTGGGTTCCAGACTGATGAGCTGTATTCAAGTATTGGTCTAGCAAATGTTTTGTATGCTCTCATTAGTAATGTGATATTACCAGAGAAAAAGCTATGTAGGATTAGGTTAACAACTCTTAATGC